CTGGTATAGCACTACTAGTGTAGACTTAGTGGTAAAGAGTGACTGGTATAGAACTACTAGTGTAGACTTAGTGGTAAAGAGTGACTGGTATAGAACTACTAGTGTAGACTTAGTGGTAAAGAGCGACTGGTATAGAACTATTAGTGTAGACTTAGTGGTAAAGAATGACTGGTATAGAACTAGTAGTGTAGACTTAGTGGTAAAGAGTGACTGGTATAGAACTACTAGTGTACATACATACCGTTACAGTTGCCTTTACAAACAACAAAAAATTAACATAGCCTTTAGGAATACTATATAAATCGTTTAAAGAAGCCCATGAATAACACTACAAAAACCCCTTCATTACTCTCTTCTGGAAAACAAACTGTGCAGATGTTACTTCGCAAGTTTAGTAATCTACATAAAAAATTCTGAAGCTAAAAAAGGTCAGTGTTATATGGGTTTTGTAAATCTTGAGTTTTTCCATAATATAAAATGAAGTAGACATTTCTGATTGTTTTCCTGTAATTTATTTATTTGTATGCAGTTTTAACATAACATATTTGGTTCATCGTTCTCAGTGTTAGTTACCTTAGTGACTTTCTCTCATACCAGATTACACCTACTTTGCCACTCAAATGTTGCCATGTCCTTTAGCTGGCCGAGTGAATGATGTCTTTATGTCTTAGTTGACGAATGCTGTGAGAAAGTGACCAGTCACGTGGTGTCGCCATCGCCAAAGAAGAATTACGAGTTTTTTGTTGTTTTTTTTTGGAAAATGAATGCATTTATTTTTCTCAGTTATACTTGGCTTTCATCTGTTCAGCAGAGATTCGTCTTGAGGGACGGAAACCGACATCTATACATTTATCCAGTAGAAGCGATCGTCCATGTATCTACGCATGTGTTGTTGTGTCATAAATAAAGTTTGTTTTCACTTCCAATCAAATGTGTCCGATCTGTTTTTTTTATCATGCAATTTAAAACACAGTCAAATTTTTAGATTCATATTATTTTACAAATTTTCTGCTCGACTCTCCCGTTATAAAACGCACCTATTCGATACTTACCAGGAAATTAGTTATCTAGGAACCACATCAGTAATTGCTGCGTGGTAAAGCCAGATAAGACTATAAGTTGGCTGGTATTTATAACGCCACATTCCTTTCATTTCATATCGGTCTCATCCAATCCAGACGGGTGGTTAGGGTGCTCAACTTGCAATCTGAAGATCACGGATTCGAATCCCTATCACGCTGAACAGGATCGCTCTTTCGGGCATGGGAGCGTTATAATGTTACGATCAATCCCATTATTCTTTAGTAAAAGAGTACCCAGATAGTTGGCGGTGGGTTATGTTGACTAGACGCCTTTCCCCTAATCTATCACTGCTAAATTATGGGCGGCTAGCGCAGATAGCCCTCGTGTAGCTTTGCGTGAAATTCAAAACAAACCAAACCAAAATCAAGCCAGACGTAGCAAGTTGGCTTCAGTGTAATATTTATTTCACTGGTTTCGCGAGAATTACAGAAAAACGTGTGTTTGAATTTCGCGGAAAGATACACAAGGGTTATCTTGCATACACACACGCGCACACGCACACACACACACACAGAGTCAGGCGTGGCATAGTCAAGTGGTTAGCGCACTCGACTCGCAATTTGCGGGTCGCGGGTTCGAATCCTGGACCATCCAACCAAACGTGCTCACTTTTTTGTGTTTCTTTCACTGGCACTGAGACAGTAGCAAAGGGTAAAATTTAAATGACTAGTAAATTATTAAAAATGAGAACATGAAGAACATAAGGAATTTTATAATCCCCATAGGGCATATCAAAGAACTCTGAAAGTCCTCATTCGCGACATTAAGTCGGTAAATCGAAATGGCTGCCAAACTCGAACCGATTAAACTCGATCTTCGGGGCGTCCATCCGAGTTCGTTTGGAAAATGTAATCGAAATTGAGCTAGTTCCTAACGAAGACTTGTTTCACCAAGCAGATAGACGGGAATGTATCTCTATACATAGATATTTGATAATTTTATAGAAGATATTCAAACGTCTACACTAACGTCAATAACAAACTTTGTCTCTAATGATGGTTCAGGAGGACTAAGATGAAATTACGAACATATTTCAAGTCAAGAAGAAATGTTACACGCTTGACACATGAGTACTTATATACGTTTATTAATTATGAGGTTACAGATATTTCCAAACCACCTTCGAATGTTCAAAATAAGGATTCTATTCAACATCATACCTTGTGCTCGTAATGTATATCTACAAAATTTTTCTTCCTGTATTGAATAGGTTCACGTACATTTATCAGTTTCCACTGTAATTAAAAACTATAATCAATCGACCATTTCGGAGTTAAAAATCTATATTTGACCAGTCTTGTTTATAAGTTATAGATATTGTCTATGTTTCTTATCTCCATACAATAAGAAGCGAAAATTAAAACATGGCTTATACGATTATTCTATAAAAAAAACACTCATATAATTACACCCCTATACAAATATGTATATATATATAATGATCTGGTAAAATTCTGGAGAAAGAGAGAGAGTAAAGGCGTTTCCTTAGAAATCTCATGTTTTTGATCTTAAAAACAACAACATTGAAAGACATTTATATCTGATAACAAAAGTGGCTTAGCAAAAGATTGCAGTTTTCACTTCTTGGCCAAAACTTAAATTATTTCAGCTATTGTCCCCTACCAACAGATCACTGAAATGAATGAAAATAACTGCCTTGGAACTTGTTCTTTCCAGCCTAATACGTAAACGCCACCTTCCTAGATGTACAGTCCCTCATCTGAAACTGGCATGGTATTTTATATTGTGGCTGGACAGTATGTATACTTGGTGTGAGATTTCTGTTTGAGATCAAACAGTGGAACACAATTCTTTCTTATAGATTACACAGCCATGCTAGGCTGGATAGTAAACATATTTAATGAGAGTTTTCTCCTTAGGATCAAACAGAAGAACACCATTTTATCTTGTAGATTACACAGCCATGCTAGGCTGGATGGTAAACATACTTGGTGAGAGCTTTCTTCTTCGGATCAAACAGAATAACACCAATCCATCTTATAGATTATACAATTCAACAATAACGAGTAAATTTATTCGAAGAAAAGTTAAATGTCTACTGAGTTAGCTACTAAAACCATTACCTAATAAGTTCTTGTAAGCACTGAAAACAGGAATGTTTAGACTACGCGCTCGTATAAATAGTGAATATAACAATGGCTAAATTGCTGTCTTCATATGAATACTGAGTGTAACCAAGTGTAACCTATATTCATATATATATGAGTAATACCTGAGTATTACAATGTTTATACTGCCATGTTGGTATAAATACTGAACGTAATAATTTTAAAATTACCATTTTTACAGGTTTGTATGGATACTACTTGTAACATCGTGTAGCATATATTAATATATTGGGATAACAAGTAAGGATAGTAAAATTTAAACTACGGTGTACCTATATGAATACCAAGTGTAACAATGTTTAAAATGTTGTTTTCGTAAGAATACTGAGTGTATCATTGTGTAACCCATACTAATGTATTGGAACAATAACTAAGTATAACAATGATTATGCTATCGTGTTCGTATATGAATATTGAATGTAACAATTAATGGGGTTTTAAAGTCATTTTCAATCACTAATTGGTGTTGTTATAAACACTAATACACCAACTCTTAGTTTTCCTTTAAAAGCAATTAGAAAACTTTATTACAACAATTTTAGCTTTTATTCAAAGTTCGCCTAAAATCTGAATATACTAAATATTTTAATAAATTGCGCAATAATGTTAAACTTTTCTTTAGGATATACTAAATATTTTGATGAGCACCGCAACAACGTAAAACTTTCCTATGGCATATACTAAATATTTTGATAAACACCGCAACAATGTTAAACTTTTCTATTGGATATACTAAATATTTTGATAAACACCGCAACAATGTTAAACTTTCCTATGGGATATATTAAACATTTCGATAAACACCGCAACAATTTTAAACTTTCCTATGGGATATATTAAACATTTTGATAACCACCGCAACAATGTTAAACTTTTCTATGGGATATACTAAATATTTTGATAAACACCACAACAATGTTAAACTTTCCTATGGGATATATTAAACATTTCGATAAACACCGCAACAATGTTAAACTTTCCTATGGGATATATTAAACATTTTGATAACCACCGCAACAATGTTAAACTTTTCTATGGGATATACTAAATATTTTGATAAACACCACAACAATGTTAAACTTTTTTTATGACGAGTAGGTTAAGCATCTAGTGTAATAAAACTCACAGGTTTCGGTTTTGTATTGTCATCGGAAGTAGTAAAATTTGTATTTTTCTAACCATCAGACAAATAAATTTCAAACAATTATTTAATGTTACGTTATTGCGCTACACTTACAAAATATCTTACGTAAAAGTTTGACATAAGCTTTCCTAATATATGAATCAAGGGCGTGTCTTAACGAGGAAACGCGCCATAAACTTCACGATTGCACGAACTGCACTGCATGTAAAAAATGGACTGTAAGTGCAGAGCTAGGGCTTTCAGCGCGACCATAGTAATCTGTCTCCACGGGTTACAACACCAACATCATAGAATTATTATAAAGCTGAGAAACTTAAATCTTGATCAAAACCACAGGAAATCTGTTTTAAGTGAATTGAAGGCCAAAATTTGGTCTTCATGATGTAAAGGGTTATATGATAACCATGTAGAACCGATAAGTGTTATTTTTAAGTATGCACGGGCAGAAATACAAGCTCGTATAAGGATTGATAAAGTACGATTACTACATGGACAATCTGTAAAGAAAGTTATTTCAAGCTTTTCTTTAAGTTTATAACTGCTTTAATCGTTTCTTTCATAATAAATAGTCATCTGTTTTTATATTTCTTTGCTACTAAATATTTTCGTACTAGAAATGTTACTTATCCCATTTGAAGTTCTTAAGCAAAGGTATTACAAGTTCATTTTAAAAAACACAAAACTGGGACAACAGAGATGTGTGATATTCTATGTTCTGTACCCGGATGTTGTAAATATTTGGGTCCAAATTCGGTGTCATTATTCTGAACGCAGAACTCTATAGTTATACACTTCTAAAAGTTCTATCAGTACAGTCGTTTGCTACAAAGGCAAACACACAAAGTTACTTGCCTAAAACGACAGAAAGATATCCGTGGTAAGTTTGCTTATCAGATTGGCCTATGGGTGTCAAAGCAACGTTCACCGAAGTCTCCTGACCAAACTCACCAAACCACATGGAGGGAAGTGTTGTTCCAAGTTGGTGTGTATGTTGGTTTTGGTCAAGGATATTCCTATCAACCAGCTTTCCCAAGGCTTTACAGTAACGCAGCCGTAGTTTAAATTAAAACAAGAATTTCTGGTTGTCCACTTCTTGCTACTAAAAGTAATTGTTTTGTTAAATTTCCTGATTAAGCAGAACGATCATGGCCTTAAAATTAAACTTTCGAATCGTAGGTGAGCACTGATGAAAGAATTAAATATTCCTTTTACCGATAACATTTTTCGCTAGGTCATTTTTTTCTTCTAGTTCATGTGTTATAATCTAAAGTTTAAGAAATTGATAAACTAGAATTAAATACAAAAATAATGAAAATTAAAAACTGGTCTCGTTCTTTCTGTAAAATATTAAGAGTTAAATATGTTTGTTAATTAGTGGGACAGCGGTAAGTCTACAGATTTACAACGCTAAAATCAGGGGATTCGATTCCCCTCGGTGGACACAGTAGAAAGCCCGACGTGGCTTTTATTATAGAAAAACACACACAATACCCCCCGTTAACAAAACCCTTTTGTAAAATCATCTTGTGGCGGTTAGCGACGTTTTCTAATCTGCGCATTTCGTGGGCGGAGCTA